ACTATCGCTTCAAAAACTCTGTGGCCTTTTTTTAGGATGTAAGTCTAGACTCTTGGGTCACAATATTTCATACTTTGAAAGCTGGATATCCTCCCAGCTTCACTCTCTCCTCTTGCTCTTTTTCCTATAGCTGCCCCAAACGTTCTCTAACCATTGCCTGTGACAAGCACCAATGCTGCTTTCTTTAACTTATATTTAACTGTTCATGGAACAACTATGAGAGAAAGCTATGATGTTTTAATAACTAAAAGCTAAATTCAATTTAATTACCTACAGATCAAAATGGCATTTTTCACACCTTAACTTGGATTATAGAAATTTAAATACAAGAAAAATAGCATTATTTTAGTCATCTACAAGAGCTTCAATGAACAAAAATAACTAAGGAAGTGACAATGGAAAGCATTCAATGTTTGAGAACTACTCTTTTTTTATACTAAATCAGCAGGATGTATTCATTCAAACCACTCACCCTCCGTCCCAGATAAGATTTGACAACCAAAGCTTGTTCTAACAACACACCACAATTCTGCAAGCTTTATAAACTTTTTTTCTTATTTTCTATTTTTGCACAACTCATCCTCTCTCCCAGATAAGAGTCAGGAACAAAAGTTTGTTTTAACAACATATCACAATTTTGCAAACTTAAAAAATCTAAACCACACACATTTTTCTTATTTTCTATTTTTGCATTCTGCACCCCCAAGTAAACCTCTCAAAAGACAGGCCTGCATGAGAGGGTCACCCTAGAAGTAAAAGGGTGCCTTGGTGCATGCAGTCCTTGTCTCAGATGCAATGTGCAGTGGTTAAAACTTTCTCCCTCTAATATGTTGCAGAAACATTGAACTCTGTAAAGATGTTGGAAATAGAAACAGCAAGAAAAAGTTCTATGACCATTGTAGTCACAACTGCTTGGGGCTCTTTTCCTTCGAGGTTAAAGATCTTATCCTTAAACTTTCCATGGTCAGTAGATCCGTCTATTCAAACCAACAGAAAATAATTCAAGCCATGGAATGTGTCCATGGAAAGAAGCCTTGGGCTGGCCGAGCGGCGCGTTGGTTAAGAGCTGGCTTGGGACGCCAGCTCTGAGCAGCAGGGCCCCGGTCTGTATCCCACATGAGGGTCGGTGACGCTGCGCCCTCTAGAGCTAAGATGGTGAACAACAGCTCGACCTGGAGCTGGACTGCCGTGGGTCGCCGGTGACTGCGTAGGCTGCAGCCCCTGCTGCAGTGGGTTGCCATGGGTACCATGTGTGGCCAGCAGCCAGCATGAGCGGCCGGCAGCCGGTGTGAGCTGCCGAGAGCCGCTGTGAGCGGCCATCCAGAGCGGCAGCTGGTGTGAGCTGCCGAGAGCCACAGTGAGCGGCCATCCAGAGGCCGACAACTGATCTGCCTCCCCGGGGAAGAGCGCAATGATAATACCAGCATGGGCCAGTGAAGCGATGTCCTCCACAACTAGACTGAAGAACAAAAGGACAGCAACTTGTCTGTTCCCCTTCCCCTAATTCCCTAGCGCTGTCCCCCTCCCCCAATTCCCCAAAAAAATCTTTGAAAAAAAGAAAAAAGAAAGAAGCCTGAAGAACTGACTACCTGCCATGACATCCACTCCTTATCCCAACACTGGCATTTGACAAGTGAAAATTCAGGATTATGGTTCAAAAACATTAGCTGAAACATCCCTTTGAGACCCATGACACAGGAAGTGCAGAATCCTGGGTAAATCTGGCTAATAACCTCACGACACCCTTGGTGTCAGCACCTTGACAACATGCTTTTACTTCCCAGCTTTAACAGAAAGGGAGGTTAGGTATGATGCCAACACGCCAACTCAGCTGAGTGTGTTTGCAGTACTGTGGGAGTTGGATCAAAACACGAACAAATACCAAAGTGGCTTTACAATTGTGAGGGCGTAAAAAACCACTCATTTTAAAATGGAGCAGAAACCTTCTTAGCAACCTCTAGGGCAAATGGATATATAATGACAATAGTGGCAGGTTATGGATAGGTAATCCAATTAATCGGTGAGTGATACACAAGATCAACTTCCAGGACCCTCCATTAAAAGACTTTGAGCTCTAACAGGCCTCCCTGTTCTTACTAGAAAACTAGTGGATAGCTTTTTAAGCTATTATAAAAATTCTGACATCTTCAATTTGACTTGAAGACCTTGAACACAAAGCTCCTTTGAGAGACAGTGAAAGCTCCTCTGCTAAATGGGAACCATATAAAAGGATCCAGAACCTGGAAGCATAGAAAGTTAAAACAAATACACAAGTACCCAAAAAATACTCTGGTCTTGACTGAACTGAACTTTGTGTGACCTTGAAAGCTCTCAGTAGTCAATATTGTTTGGTTTTCAAGTGGGAAAACATTTCTGTTTTATTCCTGTGCACGATGCCTGTAGAAGATGTTTTCCATTTAAACTCACTGACCATGAAAATGAGGACTTTAAAGATTACCTGTGCATTTCATTATCACCACAATATCCAAGCATTTATACTGGCATAATGCTTCCAAATTTCAGAGTCTAATCCTTTTACAATTAAAAATTTTCTTAAAGTGTAAACCTTCAGGTAATAGAAAGGCTGCACAGTTATATTCTTCTTTTGTAAAGAAAACAAACAAACAAACAAACAAAACAAACTCGGTTAAGAGAAACTGTAAAACTCTCTGGATTTTAGTAAAAATTGATAATACCAATTTAAAAATCCAAACTGAAGCTTTCTGTGAGGATCTAGGCAATCACTGTCCCCAAGTTTTCCTCCCTGGTTATAACCCATTATCCCCATTTCAGTCCCCTGTTGAACTGCTAAAATGATATGAGATTGTGAAAGTTGAGATTTCTGTTTCACAGCTTAAAAAATTGTACAGCTATCATTGAGGAACTCCTGAACTACGTCAACCTCCTTTAATACATTTTTGAATCGGGATAGTTTAGGCGTGTTTTAGGAATACTAAGAAGTACAAAAGAATAATATAAGCAACACTCCCATATACCCATCACTCAGCTTAGGAAATAAAATGTTTTAAATAACCTTGCAGTTACACGTGAATCTCTCCATGATCCCTTTTCCACTCTTTCCCCACTAATAACCATTATACTGAACTGGGAATTTATAATGTGCATTCATGCATTTACACTTGTCTTAGCTGTGTGTGATTGTTTTTAAAGTTTGTCAACGATATCATATTCTAGGCATCCTTCTGCCATTTGCTTATTTTGCTCGTTTATTTTTAATTTTTTTTATTGACACTTTTTTCTTTTTCTTTTTTTAATTTTATTGGGGTACAGCCATGGTCACTGGTTACACATTGCTTTCATGCTACAATGGCATAGCTGACTCTTCCTAGGGAGGGCACAGCTCAAAGTGGCCCATGCGGGGATCGAACCGGCAACCTTGGTGCCATCAGCACAATGCTCTAACCAACAACTAAGCTAACTGGTCAACCCCTTTATTGACATTTTTATGGAGAGAAACTTCAAGCCTTTCTCTAGGGTACATAACTAGGAATAGATCTGCTAGATCTAGGGTAGGCTAGCTGTCAGCTTTCCTTGATAATAATGACATCTCTAAGTGGTCACAGACATTTCTACCACAACCAGGAGAGGAGGTTCAAACTCCAAACTCTGTGTCTCCTGCATTGGGCAGCTGCTGAAATCTCTGTACAGCTCTTTTAGTCTTCGAGCCTCTACTTTCCACCTGGGCTCCATCGAGCTTTAGCTCATACATGCACAGTCAGGTCAGCCAATAACTGAGGGGGAGTTTATACACAGATTTGGGGGCACTCTCTCTCTATGGCTCCTTTATTTAGGAGGTATCCCACTCAATTTCCAGGCACCCTGACAGCCTGGAACACTGACTTTTCTTCTTGAGTTCTATCTGCCCTCCAATGCAGGGAGTGCCCCAAGGGAAAAGCTATTTAATATGGATCTTACCCAATGGGGTCCCCTTCATCCAAGAATCAAAACCTCTTAGTTTATGATGACTTTTAGTCATCCTTTGGTGTTTTCAAACTTTTAAGCGTTTTTTCCAACATTTATCCTTGTTGTTGGCAAGAGGATCAGTGCAATAGAACCCACTCTGCTACCAAAAGCCAGAACCTTGATGAGCAGACGCAAACTTTAATGCACTCCAGTTTCCCAATCTTTTCTTTTTATGATTTATGGTATTTCTAAGCCTGCTTTAAGAAATTCTTTAAGTCACAAATACAGTTTATTTTATTCTAAAAGTAATTTTGTTTTCTTTCATATTTTGGTCTTTAATTCACTTGGATTTCATTTTTCGTGCAGAGCTTAAAGTAGGGATCCGATTTTATTTTTACAAGCAGATAAGCCAATTTTCCCAGTTCCATTCCTTAAGAGTCTGTCTTTTCACCTGTGGCTCATGGTTTCCCTGCTGTCATAGTCTAGTCTCATATGTATCTCAGTCTCATCTGGGCTCCCTTCTGTTCCCGGGTTTTAATTGTCTATGTCTATACTCATAATGCAATATCTTAATTATTACATCTTTATAATAAATCTTGTTATCTAGAGCAAGTCCTTCCACCCTGTTCTCCAAAATTACTTTGCCTATTCTTGGCCATTTTTCAAATAAATTTTAGAATCAATTTGTCAAGTTATATGAAAAGCCCTGCTGAGAAGAATTTCCATCTTTAAAATATCAAGCTTTCTCATCCACAAACTTGGTATAGTTTTCCATTCATTCAGGTCTTCTTTCATGTCTTTCTATACAATTTTATAAATTTTACCCCAAATTATATTTTTGTTACTATATTATATATTATATTTAAAATTACATTTTATTAAATTATATTTTCATCCAACTTACCCCCATTTACTGCCATATTAAATAAATTTCATCAAAATCATTAGCTAAGCTACAAATTCTAAGATGTATTTAATAATCAGCAATCTAAATAATAACAATTTAACACTCTAATTTGCAAGCAATTTTTTATGTCGTGGGTTTATCAAGTAAGTATCTTGCCCTACATACTCACCAAAAAGCTCCATGGTCTCTACTTTCAGTGTCCATGAAATTCGAGTCCAAAAACATATCTTTGTAGATTCGACCAACTAGGCAATACATATCTGAAGCAACTTGTCCTTCACTTTGCACCAGGGGAAGCATAATATCAAGAGCTTTGGCTCTATCTCCAGGGAGATTTCTCCTAAGGTGGGGGAAGAAAACAACCTTGTTTCAGTATAAATTACAGAAGCAATATAGGCCAATTCTCTTTTTAAGTCTTTATTTAATATACTGTTTCACATTAGTGAAGTTTGGCAGGATAAAAACAACAATTAGATTTTTAGAGTCCTCTGTAAACCTCTGTCCTAAGCCGTTTTGTTTTTTATCCTACTGCACATCTCCTGGGTTTAGCAGGGTTTCTTGAGTTTTTCAATTTCCCTGCCGTCTATATCTATATCCACGTTCAAGTTGGTGGAATGAGATTAGGAATGCAGTTGGTGACCTTGAATGGGGCAGTCAACTAACCCAAAAAGGGGCAAAACTCTGACATTATTTAATGACTTTTGCTTCAAAACACTGAACAAACTAATTCATAGGTAATACCAACAAACCAACTTTAACCCAAGAGTCACCTAATTTATTTATTTATTTATTTATTATTGTTAGTTTCAGGTGTACAGAACAATGCACTAGTTATCCTTTTCACCCTCACAAAGTAACAACCTCCCTCCCCCCATGTACTGCCCTCCCACCAATGAGATCATACTTATCTATTACAATTCTATTTACTCCATTCCCAAGCGTCACCTAATTTCTATGTGTCACCAATTAATTATCTAAGGAAGCTGTTTTATGTAGCTCATTTTAAAATAGCAAGTATATATGGACCCTTCTTAAAACCAGATAAAAATTCTAAGAGTTAGGGTGGTGCAAAAGTAATTGCGGTTTTTGTCATTACAAATCATGGCAAAAACAGGAATTATGTTTGCACAAACCTAATATTTCATGGACCTTGAAAACATTATGCTAAGAAAGGAAGGGTGAATGCTAACGGTAGGGGTTGATGAAAATGTTCTAAAATGTATTGTGTTGATGGTCACACACTTTGTTAATATATTATAAACCATTGAATTGTACATATTAAATGGGTGAATTGCATGGAATATGAATACTTCAGTAAAGCTGTCATAAAAAAAGTTATTTCTATTCTCAATTACTACTTAAAATCTTTCTATGAAATTCCTTTTTTTTTTTACTTTGTTCTAAATACTGTGAGGTTAGAATAATGCTTCAAACAAATATTTTTATCAATTCATGATATTCTGTTTTAGGAAAGGTAAAGATGAAACACAGGAAAACATAAGAGGCTCTTATGGACTTTCATTTTTCATTTCAAAACAGAACATATTCCATTCCATCTTTCAAACAGAACTTATTTGGCAATTGGTTGGGGCAGGTAATCTCTGGAGGTCTCATCTCACTCTGTCAAATCTAAAGAAAAAGATGTTTGATAAATGGGGGGATAAAATATACTCTCAATGTTCATCTATTGATAAAGTTAACATGTTTGGGAGGAAAAAGACGGAAAGGAACAGTCTCTGGTTGACAGCATGCTGGCTTTTCTCTTTGTAGATACAGGCAGAAGAACCTCATGTTCAAGAACCCAGACATCAGCACCTGACTGATCTGGGTCTGGGCTTCAGTTTTGTCACATGCTAACTATGAGTCATGAAAAAAAGTTCGATTTTTCCAGGCTTACGTCAGAGGAAACTGTAAAACAAGGAAGCCTTAAGTGACGCACGGCAAGTGCTCAGTAAACGGGATGTCCCCTCCATTTTACTTTTTATCTTTCTCTTCAGTTGTGTTAACTACATATATATTCAACTCTCCACCATGGAAGAGGACAGTGCAACTAACTAAGCTTTGGACAGTTTGGCGCCTTAGGCCTCTCCATGGCCAGAGCAAGGATGGCCCTCCATGATGACTCTGGGTAGAAAGTGGTACTGAGCTGTGTGCCAGGATGTGAACAGAAGGCACAGACACAGGACTAGAGACAGCAGTGTTAGTCCTGGTCCTGGGAAATGCCCAGACACACGACTTAAAATGTGGCCAACAAAAATTTGATTATAATTAGTTGTGTTCAGAGCAGTCCCAGTGAAAATAGTCTCTGGTTAGGAATATGTTCACTTAGATAGAACTACCCTAATTCTACTTCAGTCAATTTTTGCATGACTAACCATTTAGTGTTGAATATATTTGCTTAAAGATAACATCATATTCATGTAATTTAAAAAATTCAAAAAATATATAAATAGCAGATACAAAATTTGACAGAGAAGAAACAGAATTTTAAGGATTTAAATACGTAAACAGTGAGGACCTTTTTTTACTGACAAAAAAAAACAGAAAAAATCAGAATGCATGCATTCTATATTTTATATGGTTGAAGTGGAGATATTAATATTACATTCTAACAGGGAGTGGTTGCCATGCTACAGCAAACACACACCCTGGAAAGAATACACAGGCTAAAAAATAATATGTTAGCCATTGCAAATGGGAACTTTTTCTTCTTACCTATTCAGTGCAAATGCATAATGAAACTTCACATGATCATGGGAGGCCAAATCAAAGGTCGGCAGCTTTTCTAAAGTCTCTACCAGCTTCACAATAGAATCATAGTCCTTTCAAACAAGAGAACAGCATAGAATTAAACCATTAGGAGAAAAGTTCTGACAATGAAATGCTTTTTGACAACCAGATAACTGAATCTTAGTAGGGCATAAGAAAACAAAACAAAAAAAACTAAAATCCAAGGAATACTTTGAAAACTAAGAAGAAACTGTTTTGCTTTTTTTTAAAGAAGGGGTTTGGATTATATACGTAAAAATATTAGAAATATAGAGTTACCACACTTGACCAGAAAAATAATAAACCATCTAGCATGATCATGCTATATTGTCTAAATACAGGTAGTTTACTGCTCCATGGAGCCAGAATCCTGGTATGTAGTGCCCTATCAATTATTTTCAGGGAAATCATTTCCAAAGTATCATGGATATGGAACAGTTGATTGAAATTCTAAGTAACAAAACCATTTAGTTTCAACAGTCAGGGGCTCCTACGTGCTAAACCTCTTCACATATGTGAATCTGTTGTTCACATGAAGCTTTACTCAGGCTTGAAAGGCTGGGAATAAAAAACCAGAAGTCACTTAAATTTTACCATAAAAATCTAATGGCAAATACCCAACTCAAAGGGGATTTCATTCTGCCGTATTTTTACCATTTTGAAACACATCAATAAAAATAACATGGCATGTTAGTGTGTTTTACATTATAGGTCTTAAAAGTTACTTTTACAGGGGTGTAAAGTACGGCACAGGGAAGATAGTCAACAATATTGTAATAACGATATGGGGTGATCATTATGTAAATTATATAAATGTCTAATCACTACAGTATACAGCTGAAACTAGCATAATACTGTATGCTAACTGTAACTGCAATACAGTTAAGTCTCCAACTTATGAACGAGTTCTATTCCGGGAGAATGTTCATAAGTCTGATTCGTTCATAAGTCTGACAATGTGAGCCTTATACACCTTTGACACAAATAGACAATGTAAAGCCAATGGTTGAACGATTCATGTTATAAGAACGAGCAACGTCTACTATCTTTTCGCCTCAGTCCAATCTCTCAATTATTTTCACTTTTGTTTCCATGGCTATTGCTTTGCGCTTCCTAGCAGTCCCCTCCACATCACCACTGCTTTTCCTCTTGCTTCCGGACATCCTGGGCTCTGACTGAGCACTGTACTACTGTACACTATCGCACTGTACAGTAAGCACACCGCAGCACAACTGGGACAATGTCAGGCAAGCGCGTGAGCTACTTCCGCAACTTGTTCGCATATACGAATGTTTGTAATGCGAGGTCCATTGGTATCTGTGAAAGTTCGCAACTCGAATGTTCATAAGTCGGGGACTTCCTGTATTAAAAATTTTTTTAATTATTTTTATAATGAGTCAATTGCATATTTCTTGCTTCTGACTAGCTAGATCTTGCACTATTAATTTCAAGCAACACAATTTCAATAGAGATAGGTCCACAAAGCTTTAGAAATTTGTGCTAGTTTCCAAAACAAAGCTTTCACTTTTTGACTGACAGGTATGCCTGAGGCTAACAGAATAGAAGAGAATATCCATGGGTTAGCTATGTATGCTGGGGTGGTTTTTTTTGTCATTTTTTGGGGAAAAGTCAGACCTTTACCATACAATTTTTTCACAATCATTGATTATTAACTCATAAGAGTCTATTTCATTCATCATAAAATCTCAGGACAGAAAGCGTAGGAGGGACAATAAAAAATTACATGTATTAACATGAATGACTTATTAGTTAACTGAAAGTTTTGTTAATACTCTTATGCCTTCAATATGCTATATGAAAAACATTTTAAACATCTTCTCACCTGGATATCTCTGTAGGAAAGTAACAGATTTATGACAATATCTGCTGTCAAGACCTCAGTATTATCTACTCGCTGCCGAATTCTTGCCAATTCAGCTGCCAATTCTTTACCAGTGTATAAATTACGAGCTTTCCTGATGTCATTGAGTATAGATTCCCGGAAATACTGGCTGTTGGGAAAACACACATGTCAAAGACTTAATATCAGAGAAGATTTCAATGAAAAGCAATAATTTTATAAGGAAATGAATTGATGTTTGCAATATTAGTAGCTTTCAATTCATTAAGATGCACAGAATGAATACCTCATGTAAGTGGCATTATTAAGAAATATGGGAGTCCTGTATTTCTTTTAACACTCTGCCTTGCTTCTGAATTAAGGTAGATACTCTATGTTAATGAATTTTCCAAGAACCTGCAAGGTACTACTAAAAATACCCAAGCTTTTTCATTTTATGGTTTTGAGGATAAATTGTTCTAAATAAATTAGGTGTGTCTATGAGTTGAACATAATATAATCTTTACTTTCTGACTCAGCATCATTATTTTATAACATAAATGACTGTCCTTAAAAATAATAAAAATAAGAAGTGATACAATGTATTTAAATAAAATATAATCACGCTCTCAGGAATTTTTGCAGTTCTCGCCCTTACACTAGAAGTCCCTAGCCATTGACTTGGATAATGTTTTTGTACTTTGAATATGTTTTTAGCTCTACCATCACTATAAGAGAGTTAGCAGTCCTTTTTTTCTGACTTCAAGTTTTTCCGTGAATAAGTGAATAACATCTAACATGCAGACTATGTGGCATCTATTTAATCTGCTTAGAGGATATTATACATATTTTTTCCTGGTTCTTGGCTACATACTATGTCTAAGAAGTCTGATCAGATGCACAAATAAAGTAGAATAACACTTCACTATTATCACCAAACAGCATTATTAAACTTTACCTGCAACTTGCTTGTGCCACCTTCAGAAGTTGAATGAAACGATCCACAAGAGGTAAGCATATGGGTCCCAGAAGCAGCTCAAAGTTCGGTTGCATGAGCTCTGTCAGCCCCTTCAAGAAGCTGCTGTCACAGCAGTAGACCTTGTTATGTGGAGTTACCATGTAAGGAATGAACGTGTAGTTCCCAGTGCACATCTGTGGGGACACGAGGTACCAGGAGGTGGTGAGCAAGCCTGTTGACTCCACTCTCATGTAATCCCAAGTCTTTTTAAATAATAATAGTGAATGTGAAGGGAAATTTTAGAAAAACCTCATTTCTTATTTTTGACCTGTGAAAATGAAAACTTCCTCCAATTCTTTAACTGTGTACTTCAAATAATTAGGACTTACAGATGATACAAAAAACAAGAGGGGAACAGATATCAATCAAGTAAAAATTTATTCACCAGCTCTCATGGCGAAGGAGTTATGATATATGCTGCAGGCAAAATAGTTTAAAACATGGCCTTTGGCCTTCAGGGACATTAAAATTTAGTCAAAGAGACACAGTATACATGCATGAAAATAACAAAAGCGAACATTTAAGGCCTGCCCACGTGACAGGCTATGCTGTGACTGATGCCAGAACAAAGCTGCTCCTCTCTGGGCCACTCTATCTCAATCATGGCTCCATTAGTCTCCCAGTTCCTAAAATTAGAGACCCAAAATTTATCCTTGATGCTTCCATTTCCTTTACCCCTCACAGCCTATCAAAGTCTTGTCTATTCTACCTCCAAAATATATCTGGTATTTGTCCATTTTCCTCCATCTTCTTGCCAGCACCATAGACCATGCCACCAGCATACCCAGCCTGAACCACTATGAACTGGTCTCCCTGCTTCCACTCTTGCTTCTCCAATCTATTCTCTACCCAGTCATCAAAGTGATCTTTTAACAACCTATTTCAGATCACTTCCCTCAGCTGCTTAAAGCCCCCTCCCTTGCTCTTGGTTGAAGATAAAACACGTCACTGTAGCTTACAAGCATTGGACTATCCAAATCCTGCCTTTCTCTCTAACCTGAGCTACTCTCCACTCATTCATCATGACCTTCTGTCAGTTCTGAATGATGCCAAGTGAGGGTATACTAGTGCATACAAAAGTAGAGCTGGGAATAAGAAAGGGGACATTGGATTGGGCACCTCTGAGTAATTAACAAGTCTGACCGGAGCTCGGGTTAAGGGAAGGGAAGTGAATGCAAAGCTAACGATTTTAAACTATACATGCTGAGCAGTGGGAATCATGGAAGGATTCGGAGCAGGAAAGAAAACATAATCAAAGCTGTGCATTCTGACACTGGGCAGAAAACAAGATGGACTGAATAAGAAAGAAGATTTGAGGAAACGAGGCAGGAAGCTACAAAGCATGACCAGAATGGCAGCAGTAGCAATGGACGCATGCATTCAACGTCAAAAGGAAGGAATCATCTAGACCTGCCCACTGGTTACAGGTATTGAGAGAGAGGATGAAGGAGTCAAAGGTGACTCCATAGTCTTAAATGGGGCTTCCTAAAAAACAGTGGTATCATTAACAAAAAGCAAGAATGAGAAAGCAGAACCAGACTTAATTACTTATGGACATACTCCACCCTGGGGCACATGTCACATTATCTGGTAATGAAACAAAACAGAGCCTGATTTCCTGTTAAAATACGAGAACTTCAAGAAGCTGAGGTTGGATTTGGGGTGGTAGGGTGAAATGTTCACGATTACAGAGATTGGGATTTCAGGGGAGCAGGACACCCAAAGTGAAAATATCCAGAAGAGATTTGGAAATATGTGCTTGGTACATAAAAGAATTTCTAGCCAAAATACAGACCTGGGAATTCTTTGATATGGTTGAATCTAAGAAAATGGGAGAGACCTCTAAAAGAAACATCCCAGAGAAATAAAAAGCAGAGGACTGAAAACCAGGACAAGATATGTGGAAAACTTAATTTATCGCTGTTCTTGGGAGTCCAGGTTATCGGTTCCCAGACATATCAGCATTATGGAGGACAGCACATCACTTCTCTGACCCTAGAAGCAAGCTAATGAGAACAAACATTTATTTACCACTTGTATGTGCCAGAGCATGTATAGTTATAAGTTCACAGCCCACTGAAAAAAGTGCTCTTGTCTCCATTTTATAGGTGAGGAAACCGGTAAGTCTTGGAGAGGTCACAGAGCTGGTCTGTGCTGTGTTTGGACTCCACCCCAGGGACTCTTTCTCTAGAGGATATGCCATTATCGTAAGGGGGTTGGACACCCTCCCTAGTGGCCTTTACACACTGTCACACCAACCCCTTGCCTCATGAACCCTGCATCAGCCAAGTTGCTGTCACGCAGCAAACAGATGAGAAGTACCAAGTGCCCTTACGGCCACACTTAATTATGTATGAACATTTTATTCATTGAGGCACTTCTTGTATGTCAGGTAATGAAGCAGAAACTGGACCTGACTTCCATTTACCGGTAAAGCATGAGAACTTTCAGAGTGTTAAGGTTTGATTTTTAAATCAAGAACATGAAATTGTTCCTTTCTCAAGTTTTCCTTCTGGAACAATAATTGGAAGACTAGTCAGAAGAGGGAAAATGAGCATATCCTGCTTCTAAAATGTTACAACATTCCATATAGCATGTGCACCAATTTAATCCTTTTACCCAAGCCACTGCCTAGGCAGACAAAGGCACCTATATCAAAAGGCTGCTTTCCAAAGCTTCTAGAGCTTAAACTATGAGTGGGTTATAAAAGAGCAACAGAGTCAAACAGTCCTGTTTTAGCTAAGCACTGTAACTCAAAATCACAAAACAAAGTGCTCTGAATCTTCTAAGGCACAAAATCGGCACACAGATGAAAAACCGATAAACCAGAAAAGTGCCATTCGAGTTTCAGAATATTCTTCTTCTGCTACTGGATAAAGTATCCCCAGAAATCTTACTATCATGTGTGTCTGTGTATAAGACATGAAATATAATACATTATGGAAATTCTGGGCATTGGGGAATAATGCATCTGTGTAAAACTCATTCTGGGAGAGAATAACTATCAGATGCCTGAGCAGCAGAGGGGCAAAGAGAGAAAAAGGAGAGTCGTACAAATAGCAGAGGAAAACAGATTCCCGAAACTGTCTTCTTTCAGGCCCCATGGAGTAAGGCTTCAGAACCCTTGTTGAAAATACTCATCATGCTAAGGTTTTCTTAAGTTCCTGGCATCACTGCACTTTCTGGAGTCTCTTCCCTGTTTCTGAGGCAACAATTTATTTTTTCCATTTCCAGTCACTGGTGATCAGAAACAGGGGAGGCTGATAAGCTGCAGGAGGCACACGGGCACTACCAAGCCCGAGCTAAGCAACAGCACAGTGAGCACACAGTGGGCAGAAAGGGTGAGGGCTGCTTGTGGGATGTTGCGTTGTTGTTGTTTTTTTAAATAGATACAAACTATTGAATAAAACACTTTTTCAAAATCTTGAAAATTAATAACACGGGAGCATTTATTTCCTAAATTGGCTCACATGTAGCTTAGAAATATCATCATTGTAATTTATTACTAGATTTCTACCAAACTCTGAGTTTGAAATAAGTAATAATCTAAAGCAAAATAAAAATAACCACTGTGTGATCAAGGACAGACACCTCAGGTGTAACCTCTGCCTTTTATTAATAACATGCTAACTCTCAAATACTTAAACCTGCTTTCTGAAGAAGAAAGACCACATTTCCTTACATTTCAAAACACTAAGTCATGGCCATAAAATGACAATGCTGATCTCTGTGGCCCATAGTTGTTTTCGTGGCTATAAAAACCTACAGATCAAAATCTAGTCTTAATCTGTCTAATCATCTTTACTGTTTGGTTTTTTTTAATAGTTTTTTTTTTAATAATACCAATTCTGTTTTTCAATTTTTACAAACTTCATAAAGATGAACATTAAGTGTGTGTGGAACATGAGTTAAGCTTTAGGAAGAAATGCTCTCAGCATTCAAACACATTGAAATGTATGCTCAAAATACTCACCTTTTGATAAGGACACCCAGTACCTGCAACACAGCAGCTCATTCAAGTAAGTGGCAACTTGTTGATAATATGTACTATTCGGTCATCTTACAAATCTGCTTCTCCACACATCCAAACCATCGTGGGGCATGCTTAGCCCTTTCTACCAGTCAGGTCGCACGTAAATGGTATATACTCTGAAAGGCCTTCCAGGACCATTTGTTATAATAGTCACCACTCTTTAGCACATTGCCTTCTGTTAATTTTCTAACTGGTTTGTTTGCTTATTTGTTTATTGACCTTTCCCCCAACTCGAGTCTGGAATTTCTCATTTGTTGTCTCCTGGAATAGTTATAGACCACGGTTGTTTTTACTTTCAACCTCCTAGTGATAATCTCTTAAGGCACCAAGCCCAAAGCCTGGCACATGGTACATGTTCAATCAACATTTATTTGATAAAATGTATTACACTGAATCGATACATGAAAGGGTAATTGCTCATTTCCTGCTAAGATGTAAAAGATGAGTTTATAATGACAACATTATTTATGTTGCAGTGAGTCTCCAACCTGGTAAAATCTTAACCATAAGTTTTTCAATTTCTGATCTAAGGAAATACTATCAACTGTATTTTTTATGTTATCTTAAATTAAATCATGTGCAGATCTTTATATAGTACATTATTTCTACCTTAAGTTGCAGAGATATATTCTTTAAAGTATTTAAATACTGGCTTCCTTTACAAAATGAAAAATACAACCGTTGGCATAACAAGGCTGATCCTCTGTATATTAAAATTTTTCTTCATGCATTTAAAAATGTCTTAATTTATTTTTATCACTTTTAACTTTTGTTTAATTCTGTGCAGAGGGCAGAAATTCTGTAGTATAGTCTCAAAGGCAGATACAAGATTTAGGAACTTAAATCAATCTCTATAGATAAATTGATAGTAGACAGGTTTGATATATATACACATATATACGTATGTGTATATATGTATGTGTACCTATAATTTGTATATATAGTATATATGTATAGATATACATACATATATGCATACATGTGTGTGTAACTGTGTGTGAATATACATGCTGCTTTAGTGGCATTTGTAATTCCACAAAATTGGATATACTTTGGACATTTTTTTTCCAAAACATAATTACATATTTAAAAAACAGATATCAGTGTCATCTCCATTATTATAAAATTTCACTGTAAAGAAATATTTAGATAAGATAAAATAACCATATTTATACTGATATGTCAGAAACTCTAAAGAGGAAAAACAGAGATAGAAATTAAAATTTTGTGCAGATGAAGAGACTACCAGAGAACAGTTATGAGGCAAAAAAAGACTTTAAAATGTCTAAAAGGGTTAAGTAAAATACTTACAGTATTCTTCTGGCAAATGATTTCCTGAAAAATGAGAAAAGAAAAAGTAAAGCAGAAGTCAATACAAAATTAACTAATTAATTAATTAATTGAACTATTCTTTGTGGGAAAATTTGTATTAACAATATTATTAGCAATTAGAAATTTCACGGAGTGCACCTGAGAAGTTTACAATCTGACAGAGAAGACAGCTGAGCACACACACAAAAAAATCATCTATGGTTTAAGGTAAACAGCACAAACATATAAAATCCAAAAGTGAATAATCTAAAAATCATTTTTGCAGAATATGTATGCTCAGGCTTACCTTATCAGCCATGATACTTTTGGAAAAACATTAAAAAGAGTTTGCTTTCCGTGAGTACAACCTCCATCATACCCTGGGAGGGGAGTGAGGCAGCTAGAAACACAGGGTGCTGGCCACTTAACAGAATGGGCAAATCCACACATAGATAAGAAGGCCATCTGACAATAAATAGTCTTAAATAAAATGTATGTATTGTGCAGTAAGAAGTGGAATGCCATAAATACGCTGTGGGCAGTGTCCCTATCTTCTAGGTTGTGAGGAGTAAGTGAGATCATGCAAATAATGTGTCTGGTACCTAGAAAGCTCTTGATAAAGCCGGCTATCATTATTATTATTCCTACATGTTAAAGTGACTAGAAACATGGGGAAGAATCTAGAAAAGCTTACAGTATAAAGGCTTCACTGAGGTTGGGAAATCATGACTTATTATAGAAAAAACAAATAGAACAGCTTATTGGAAAAGATGGTACGTATGTTGTCATGGAAACAAGAAATGTTAAGGCATGTGTGGAGCCTCAAGGTGGGTCCATCTGGCTAAGGAGAGGAGCCAGCTCTGGTGAGGTAAGGGAAGAGCAATGCAAAACTCAGGGGACGGGCCATCCTTCTGCATCCCAGGATCAACACGGGGGCCAAAGGGAACCAACGAGGGCTTTGGCTTGGAGCAGTATGTAAGATTTTGGACCACTTAAGGATAACAAATGAGTACGTAAAAATCTGTAATAAAAGGAACTGTGCTGGGTAATTTTGAGAGCCCTAAAGACGTATATAAAATACTAAAATACCTTCAATACTTCACAATCGTGCTGATTAAAAAGGACACCTATACATTTAGAAGGCAACATCATATGCCTGGACACACATACATGTATGCACACACATTCTAAGTCTAAAGAGCATATTACAGCAAGGGCTAGGGTTTCTAAGAGAAAGAAGATATTAGTAGAGATTGAGGGAGTCTGAAAAGATCATCAGCGGGTGAAACTCAAGATGAGCCAAGGAGAACAGACACAACTTCCAAAGGCAAAGCTGGGAGGTCAGACTCCAAGCTAGACGACTAAGAACAGCAAAGACCCATTTAGAGAACAACAAATATTATCATCAGGGGCTAAAGAAGACAGTTCGTTTAGGCAAGTATCAAAGAGAGAATTAAAGAAATATTTGCAAAAGATCTTGAATTTAATCATTGGGATAAAGCAGAAAGCTCATTTTGGCACGTACTGATAATAAGATTAGAAAGTTATCTGGGGCCTCATTGAAGAAGGCTTTGAATGCCAAAATAAAGGACTCTGTACTGTGCAAAGGCACCGGGCAAAGTGTTGTGGGGTTTTTTTTTTAAATTTATTTTATTGGGGAATCGGGGGAGGGGAACAGTGTTGAGGAATTGGGGAAGGGGACCAGCCAAGTTGTTGTTCTTCAATCTTTGTTGGGGAGGGCGACAGTCGCCATCTGGCTGCCCGTCAGCAGCTCATGGCCTCTAAGCTCAAGGTGCTGTCTTCGATCTTAGTTGTGGGTGGGCATAGCCACCATCCCATGTGGGAGTCGAACCAGCAGCCTTGTTGTTAAGAGCACGTGGTCTATCGACTGAGCCATCTAGGCAGCAGCTCAGCTCAAGGTGCCGAGTTCAGTCTTAGTTGTGGGTGGGCGTAGTCCACCATCAAACAGGCAATCTTGTTGTTACACCAGCTGAGCCATCCTGCCACCTGTTGGCAGCTCAACGACAGCTCAGCTCGGGTGCAGAGTCACTGGCCCATGTGGGAATCGAACCGGTGGTCCTGTTGCTCAGAGCTCACACTCTTAAGCCAACTCTTAACAAACTGAGCCACTTGACTGGCCCAGCAGAGTGTTCTTTAAGATGAGAGATATCCATAAACAGGTTGCAGCACACAGAACACTTCATAATAGCAAAGGTTGGGAACCACATAAATGTCTATTAACTAGAAACTGGTTGAATAAACTATGGTGCCTCCAGATAATGGAATACAATGGAGCCATAACAAAGAATGAGGAAGTTTTTTATGTAATGATACGGAGAACTCCAAGATACACTGATAAGTGAAAAAAAGCAAATTACAAGATGGTGTTTAGTCTATGCTCCCTTTTATGTAAGGAGCTTTTATGCTCATTTTTATTTTTCTCCCTGAAACGGAGAAAATTTGTACATTTAAAAAATCTCTCTGGAAGGATATACAAGAAACTAATAACAGAGGCTGCCCATGGAGAGGGGAGCTGGCTGGCCGAGGGACAAGGACCGAGAGTGACTTTCCACTATACTGTACATTCTTTTGCACTTTAAAATTTTTGTATCAGATGAATGTATTATCCAAGAAAGACATAAATAAAAGGTAAACCTTGTTAGTTTTAAAAATACTAATTAGGCAGTGGTATTTAGTCTTAGAGAGGAGAAAAGCATTTAGGTAGCTATTACAAAAGTCCAGGAGGGATGTCAAAATAAGGGCTTGGACAATGTGGTGTCAGGGGAATAGAAATCAAAAGACAGATGAGCGACATTGTGGAGGAAGGTTGAAAGCGGCTTTTCCCACAGATGTTTCACAAATAGCGATTGCGCACACAACACACAAACGCACACACTCAGTGACGAAAAAACTAATATTATAAATAGAAAAATGTTGGATAATCAGAAACGCCAGGAACACAGTCTCGAGAATGTTCCAAATAGGATTCATGACGCATTTCTCCAGAATACTAAACCTTTTCAGACGCTGCTCTCTTCTAATAGGAAGATCCTTCTCTCTTCCTAGTAACAAGGAGACACCCTTCTGTCATCCTCTGTGCACAGCACAAGATGTGTTCTCTGTGAAGCTGGTCCTGTCTTCTGTGACACCTATTTTCCCAGTGGAAGTACATTATGTCCTTATTTTTGCCATCACCAACTCTTGTACCTCAATGGCAGCACTGCATGTACTAACTGCAAATGTTTCTTCATGTCACTCTCCAATTCCACATCATGAGCCACCTGGATGCCAGGGCCATGTTTTTTTCCTATTTGTACCCTACTGAGTGCCTGGCAAATTGAATGGCATGGAGTACATACTCAATAAAAGCATAAATAAATATGTTAATAAATGTATAAGACATTGGAGGGCTGGCTGAGTGGCTCAGTTGGTTAAGAGCAAGAGCTCTGAGCAACAGGGTCACCGGTTCAATTGCCACATGAGCCAGTGAACTGCGCCTGAGCTGCTGGTGAACTGCCAACAGGTGGCAGGATCAGCTGGTGAGAGCACATGCTCCTAACAACAAAGTTACCGGTTCGACTCCGGCATGGGATGGTGGGCTATGCCTACCTACAACTAAGACTGAACATGGCACCTTGAGCTGAGTGGCCACAAGCTGCCGATGGATGGCCAGATGGCGACTGGACTTGGCGCTGAGCTAGCTGCACCCCCCACAACTAAGATTGAAGGACAACAACTTGACTGTTCCCCTTCCCCAATTCCCCAGTAAAATCTTTAAAAAACAAAACAACAACAAAAATTGGACTATGATTTGGGTAGATGTGTGTTACGTTCTGGCTCTGCTCCTGATTAGTCACCTTTCATTTCGCCTATCATGAATGTTAACACACTAAGAGTTGGACTGAGTGGTTGCTGGTCTCTTCCCACTCTGTATTATGTATCATTTGCTTCTGGCTAAAGGCCCATCAGTCAGCACTGTCCTTGTGCCCCTGGAAGGAAAAATGTCCCCATGCCCAGCACAAGAGCTACTCTACCATCATCTCTCTTTTGGTGCAGCAGGCACAGAAATGGAAGTGGCAGTGAAGAGAGTTGTGGTGAGGACTGAGTGAGCTGAAGGCTCTGCTTGGCATTACAGATAATAACCACAGCTGCTATGGGCCTAGAGCCAATATGTTGTGTCTTCCTGGAGAATCGCTCATTGGAGTACCCATCATCTTACACGTTTTCTTTGCTTTCATTTCAGGGAATATCTGCATCATAACAAATTATGAAACTATTAATATCATCCCTGTAGGAATCTACTGACTTATTAACTACTGCTTATGTTTTGTAGAAGCTATAATACACAAATTATTTGCTTGACAGACTTTACTCACAGTTTATGATGTAACTTTAAATAAGGCAACGACTCTAAAGAAAAAAGGTCCTATTTGTGCATTTTAACTCAGTACAAATAGATAGCAAGACCTTGAAAGGTATCTACCGTATTTCCCCAAGTATAAGATGCACCCTTTTTCGAAAAATTTGGGGTCTAAAAACTGGGTGCATCTTATACAGTGGTTGTAGATATTTTTACTTGCATTTCCCGCTGAGGACGAGGCAATATATGAAGACAGTTATTCATCATCAGACACAGATGAGGACAAGCTAATGGTTGGGAGTTCTGACAGTGATGAGGAGTTGTATGAATTTTATGATGAATAAAACTTGAGTTCAATAACTTTATGTAATACATTTTTTTCAAATTTCAGGCCCCCAAATTAAGGTGCATCTTATACATGGGAGCATCTTATACATGGGGAAATACGGTACCTACTAAGGTGGAATAGTAAATGTTTAATTTGTACTAAACAACACTGAAGGGGAAAAAAAAGGAAGAAGGGGAATGAATTTGAGACACATCTGCAATATTTCACACCACTTCATGAAAATGTCTCATCTAGGAGCCTAGAAATAAAAAGATAAAATAAACATAAACTTCAGTTCCTTATCTGTGAATGTTTCTGGAGGTGTATCACCCCACT